TTATAAAATTCGCATATTTCAGAATAATTTGATCCAGTTTCGTCGCATTCAATCAAACCAGTGGTTTTCAAGCCGAGGTAATTTTCCACGTGCAAATAATGAAGCCGTTTCTGGCGGGTAATGAAATACTTTCTAAAAGTAACATTTTTTGGAGTAAGTTGGTAATCACAATAATAATAAAGAAATAAACCAATGAACAAATGAACAATATAGCAATGATTAAAATAACTATCATAATGAAAAAAATCACTAATTAATTTCTAACATACATAATACGCTAACAGCTTATAATTTCAATATTTTCCTTCCTCAAACTTCCTGTAACACTACCGAGGCTAACGATCCCCCCCCCCCCCAAAAAAAAAAAAAAAACTTTCCGAACTCCTAATCTATTTTTTTTTCTCTCTCTCTCTAACACTGGTAAATATTAAAGCTTCCAAACAAGGTGTTAGAAGGATGAAAATTTCCCGGACCAGAAGCCGGCTTAAACTCCGCTATAAGGACTTTCTTCCGGCCAACAGAAAACGGAGAAGCAGTACAAACACCTCCACTGTTAGTCGGAGATCTTAGCGGGGACTAAAGCATTAGTGAATGAAACGAATATTTGTTTCGTTTTGCTGTTTTTTTTTTCTTTCTTTCTTTACTGTCCTCTTTCTTACGTGTGAAATTTGCTTTCATCGAACATTATAGAAGCTTGCTGGTTGGTCTTTTTTTTTATGATTTTCACATAAGTTTTCTTTTAGTAAGGTTTAATGCTAATTAGAGAGAGATTGAAACAAAGAAACAAGGAAACAGAGAGAGAGGGAGACAAAGAAACAGAGAGAGAGAGAGAGAGAGAGAGAGAGAGAGAGAGAGAGAGAGAGAGAGAGAGAGAGAGAGAGAGAGAGAGAGAGAGAGAGAGAGAGAAAGAGAGAGAAGGGAAAAAAGAAATAAAAGGAAAATAAATAACTGATGATAAGAAGGAAACTAACAGTACGAAAAACATTGAAACAGACAAATAAAAGAAAGAGAATATAATATATATATATATATATATATATATATATATATATATAATCGCCTGTGAAAAAACAATCAAACCTTGCTCGAGAGGTGCTATAAAAGGACTACAAATGTTCGTATATTTTATATACTTAAACTATTTTATGTAAAGAAACTGAAATAACCCGAAGCAACTGAAATAGTTTGAAACAACTGAAACAGCCCGAAGCAACTGAAACAACTGAAGCAACTAAAAAAAAGAAACATCCCGAAGCAACTGAAAGAACTGAAACAGCCCGAAGCAGCTGAAACAACTGAAACAAACAAAAAAATTAAGCATCCCGAAGCAACTGAAAGAACTGAAACAGCCCGAAGCAGCTGAAACAGCTGAAACAAACCAAAAAAAAATGAAGCATCCCGAAGCAACTAAAAGAACTGAAAGAGCCCGAAGCAGCTGAAACAACTGAAACAAACAAACAAAAATGAAGCATCCCGAAGCAACTGAACAAACTGAAACAACTGAAACAACTAAAACAAAAACATTCCTAGACCCTTCCTTGCACGGGTTTCCGCTGTAGGAATGTCAGCCACCTCTTGGACGCACGCCATGCAAACTCGACTAGCAAGAAAGGTCAATGTACAACACAAGAGGATTGCACAGCGTGTAGTTCAACATGCAATTTTGCAACGAGTAGGGATTGATAGGCGTTGAGAGAAAGTCAGCATGTATTTGGAAGTCTTTAGGCTGGGGGGGGGGGGGATTTGTGTAGTTTTTTTCTTGTGTATGTATGTGTATATGTATATATATATGTGTGTGTGTGTGTGTGTGTGTGTGTGTGTGTGTGTGTGTGTGTGTGTGTGTATGTGTGTATGTGTGTATGTGTGTGTGTGTGTGTGTGTGTTGTTTGTTTGCCAAAAAATATTAAATTGAAAAGAAAGATCATTTTGCTGTGTGGTGTGGATTCATTTGTTCAAGACTGAATTTGAGCATCGCTGTCCTATTTGAAAGGTTTGTAAATACCTGTAAATATAAGAGCTATAAATAAATAAAAGAGATAATAAGGACAAGGGAAATTCGAAAGTGAAAGCATCAGTATTGTTCTCTTGGAATGCAGGAAAATGCAAAATCAAATATTTTTTTTTTGCTTACTTTCTTCCACGTTTAACAAGAATCTCGCTTTCACCTCTTGAAACCTCTAAACCAAAGTATATTCCTTGATCATACCATTCATATTACACCAGCATACATCATACACCCACGTCTCCTGTCAGGACAACCGAACACATACCATAAGAAAGCTTCTCTTTAAATGTTGAATAACTAAGAGAGTCAAACAGCTGGTTTCACTTTCATAAACAAGTTTCTCTGCTGTGGTGTTGCCATAAACGAGACTTCAGGTTTATCGTCCATATTTTCTAATATTTAGATTTCCCCTTCCATTTTCCCTCCACGCTGGCCTTATCGCTCTTAAATCGCCCAACGGATCAAAGTGAATAACTTCGCAGATTCGTAGATTCA